CAGAAAGAATTGCTTTTCCTCAGAATGCCTTTGTCCCAACTGTTGATGCACATGCTGTTTTCCTTGGATTTGCAGGTCATCCTGCAAAAAAGTTTTTGCCATGTAGCTCATCCTCGTAGGCGGGATGTGTACACAAATTTTACATAAAATAGTGACCGTTATCTAAGCACAATAACATTCACGAATAACACAAACACGAATGTATCACTTCATCAGCGTCATGAAGTCGTTGAAATATCTTGAACCCATATTCCAACTCACTATCAGTTTTCATTTGCCAAGAAGAAACACAAGATGAATTGTAAATCTCATCATATAGATACCATCTCAAATATTTCAAGAATTCCCCACAAAATGTATGAAGTCAGAAATATGATATATTTTAATAGGATTTCAGCTTCTAATAACTCATCAACGGTTTTGTCCAACAAATGTGAAAACAGATCAGAACACCTACTGGGAAAATTTTTATTACCTCATAATTGACGAAATCACTAGGAAAATTTGTACATTATGCTTGTTTCTAGGAAAATTTGCGCTTATTTCTAGGAAAATTTGCATACTAAAGAAACATTACATTAGTGACTGAGCTGTTAATCTGTCTGCGATGTAAGAGTTAGACATTTGCAGCAGTCATTGTTCCCAGAAAAAGTGGTGCTTGAATGTGATCTTGCGCTGCACCATCTTCCTCCTCGTCCTCTTCTGTTTGCCAGAGGAAATTAGCATATGCAGTAAGAATGTGGCTGAAAGCAAGGAAACAAATTGACCAAAACTGTATATCAGAACAAAAACTAAACACAGGATGAAATGAAGAAACTGTGATATTCTCCCTGTTTGGCACAGCTAATTGGAGCTGTTTCTAGTTTTTGTTTTTTGGAATCTATATCAGAGTGTTTGATGCTACTTCTGCTCATAGCCTATGAGGCTGAAACTACTTAAATAAGCTAAAAAAACCTGATCATTTGGAAGTTAGGGGATGTATGCTTTTAGCTATGCCTTTTTGATTATCAACTTTCAACTTAAGAAAAGTTGCACCAAACAGGCCCATTGACCCTTCTTGCAAATCCCCAAACAAGGGAAATGTGCAAAATTTTTTCCATGAGACATCTAGTATTGTCTGGTTGTGATTATTTTAGCAGTGCCTATGTCACATCACATGGACTCGGATGGGTGTCATGTGGATAAGTTTGTCCGGATTCATCTAGTTCTCATATCCAAAGATACTAGGATACAACTAGATATTATATTTCTTAAATACTTTCTAACATAGAACATTTTATGAATAAAATACTAGTCTTACGCATAGTTATATAGTAAACTTGACCAATTGGGCATACTTGAAGGGCGCATGTTCAACTAAGTATATCTAAGTGTCAGGTGTCTTGCACCATACTTTAGAAATTTAGAAGAGCCCATGTAATGTATAGCTTCAATGGACATGGGTCCTGAAGCACCATCCAATGTATATTTTACATTACAGGGCTAAAACTTCATTACACAGTGTGAACAATTCAATATTGTGACGGGCAATTGATTCTAACCTGTCCTCTGCTGTAGCTTGAACTGCTCTCTCAAAGTAAGACATGGCTTTATCTTGGTCATGATGAAGTTCCCACACCACCTTAGCATATTGCGAAATTATTTCTCCATCAGCAGGATCAGCAAGTACTGCACTCGAGTAGTATTGCTCAGTTCCTTGAAGGTCTCGCTTGGACTGTTAACCGAACAAATAAGTTATTGCACAAGAAGAAACAAACAACTAAGCATAGTTTTATACAGATTCATATGATTAGGTCATTATGCTCTATCATGCAGTAAAAAATAAGATCCAAGTCCATATCTTCAATTACGAAAGAATTTTACCGAGAGATGTGCAATGTATAGAAACATATAGTATTTATTCATCTTCCCAATGCTTGTTCCCATGTGGTTTGGGGTGATTTCGAGACTTACACAATACATTATGTAACAAAATTTACTATTACAGGATTGAGGTTCAAAATATCATTTCAAGATCACAAACCCTGTCAAACCATATTGAAGGCCTTCACTTGACGCCCTTTTGAAATATCAGTAATGTAAAGGCATAGATATTATCATTACAATATTAATTTTCAATTTCATCCAAACCACAGTGAAATCCTGAGATTTGACATCTGTATGAAATATTAAGACGTCATAATGGAACTCTTCTACTCTGCACACAGTAGAGTTATAATCAATGCTTTACTTCGAAGTTCTGCATAGAGAACCATTGCTAACACATGAAGAAATTCTGCGAGACTTTTCTATATATATATATATTTTGAAAGTTAGAAAATAGTCCGAGTTTATCCACCATACTTCATTCTTTGGTAGCTCACTCTTAGAACTGCAAATGCTCGCTGCCTGAGATGTTCACTTTGTTTACTGTGGCTCATGTATTTTAAAATATGGCTTTTAAACATGAGAAGCTAAATGGAGAGAGAGAGAGAGAGAGAGAGAGAGAGAGACTGATAAAGGAACTGAGCATAATTTCTCAGGAACAAACGGTTGCTAGGGTTTTCCTCTACCATCCTCTTGTAATAATCCTCCGTGTTTCCACCTTTGCCAAAATCTGCTGCATTACAAGCAACACCATCAATGCCTCCAACAACAGCTACGTCAATCCCCACCCCTATCGCAAGATGTAATGAAGGGCTAACTAGCTCTTTTTCTTCTTCGAAAGGTGTCTTCTGAACTTCAACGAGAACTTTATCATCTTCTTCAATCTGTCATATATCAAAGGAGCATTAGTCTCATTCCAAAAAAAAAATATGAGTCTAGTAAATTCAAAACTGTTATGTAGAGAAGCACCTGAGTATGATCATTCACAGAACAATCTTCTTTGTCTTCCTTTATTTCCCAGAGAAAACAAGCATAGGCTGTTAGCATAGCATATTATATTATTATCTTTGTTATTGGTTTGTAATTGTTCTATGCCCTCAAGGCTCATCTTGTAATTGTCTCATCTTGTAAACCCTAATTTTCATTTATAAATAGGAGATGATATCCTATCAAACCCTAAGCTGGTTACTCAAGCTTCATGGTATCAAAGCAGAACCTCTAAGGTTTCGGCACACCCTCACTCTAGGGTTCGAAACTTACATAGGTGGATCATCTGCTGGGTCGATCTTCAGCTCGTCAATCTCTGCTTCGTCTTCATCCTTAGTCGCCGTCGTCACTCAGCCGCCTCTCAGTCGATCGTCACTCAGCCGCCTTCCTGTCGCCTTCATCACTCAGTCATCCTCAGCTCGTCGATCTCCTCCAGTAGTTCATCGATCTTCTACTCTACTCGACAGTTCGTCGCTCGTCTTCATCTCGTCAGCTCGTCGCTCGTCTTCGTCGCTCGTCTTCTCCTCTGTCGCTTTCGTCGACTGTCGATCTCACTGGTATACTCTCATACTCTCATCCCTGTTTGGTATGATATAACCTATGTCGTGTATAACACCGTACCAATACATATATAAATAAATAAATAAATATATAAAATAAAAAAAAAATGAAAATGGTTTCTTAAATTTGTTATGCCTTTATAGTGGTCATTGTGCCTGTTCTTTCACCACCACTTTCCGGGTTTGTGATTGCCACTAGTTTTGTTGCGGGTTTGGTGGTATAGTATCCATGACAGATTCCACCAGTGTGTCCCCTTATTCTCAAACACCGAGGAGTGAGAGTCCCATTATACCTACTACCATGACTAAGAACCCCAACCGTAGTCTGAAAATCACCACCTCTCTATTTAATGGTCAAAACTACCTAGCATGGTCTCAAAGTTTGACTATGTTTTTGAAGAGCAGAGGGAAGAAGGGGTATGTTGATGGCAGGATACAGGCACCTAGTACCATTGACTCGGGTTATAACCAATGGGAGATTACCAACTCTTTGATTATGGGTTGGCTTATCCATTCAATGGTTCCAGAACTTGGTGAGGGCTACTTGTCTATGGAGACTGCCCAGGATGTTTGGGATGTTGTGGTTGCCACCTATTCCCGCAAAGGGAATTTCTCACAGGCATTTGAGTTGCGCCGCTCTATTGAGAGCTTACTTCAGGGGGAGCAGATTGTTCTTCAGTACTTCACTTTCCTCACCAACGGCTGGAAACGCCTTGACCACCTTTAAGACTATTGTGGACGCGCCCTCGGGCTTTATGCCACCACAGTTCGGGCTCCCTTTTGTGTCACGGTTCTTAGTCTGAACCAAAGAGTCCAAATCCGACAAATCGTTTTGAGAAAACAGATTTTTAGAAAAGAAGTGCCAAACATGGACTGCTTTGCCAGATACAGAGTCGCCACCTAAATATTTTTTTAATGGGGGAATTTAGGAAATCCTGACTCGTTTGCCTAAGGCCACGTGTCCGTCATTACCAAAGTTGCCTCGGCTCGGGAACTTGGGTACGATTGGGGAAGGTCAGCTATGAGCACCCCCTCTCGTCCGATCCGAAGATCGGTCTCTACTAACCATGATATCTAATTTTAAAAACGTTATGTGTTCTTATTCTGGCTAATTAGCTAGAATTACTATGTGGTGCGCACAGCAAAACAAGTATAGACTAGATCGCCTAATTTGGAACAAAGCATCGCATATCCGTTTGTTTGGAAAATGTTTTGAAATTTGCTACTCGCGAGTAGGCTAAAACACGAATTTTGATGAGTTGTTCCAACTCAGACAATCCAACCTTCACCCACAGGCATTCAGGCAGTTCATATCACATAAGCATCTAGCTACATGGTAAGCATGCTATCATGTTAACATTCACACTCGTGCGAGATACTAAAGCACAAAATACTTACAGTGTACTCCAAGCCAAAACAAAGAACTCGTTAGCAATTAATGTATGATCCAAGTCCATGTTAAGTGCCTAATGCAACGCATACAGAATGCAATTAGGATAGGCTCGGCTAATCCTAGGATGGCATGTGAAATGCAACCATTTGATGCACATATTCAAGTTAGATTTGAAATACTTATGCAGTTAGCATGATGCGCCGAGCCCGGTGCATGCAATGCTGATGAATGATGCACGCATGCATAGCATAAGGTATGCTAAATTAAATATACCCTAATACTAACTATCAAAGCAGGTAAGTAAAAGGGAGAAAGAAGTGGGGTTTGGAAAACATGCACACACGCACCCACACTTATAACAAATTCGCCCTCGCTCGGAGGGACCAAAAGAATAATACAATTAATTAACCTACAAGCTAATTAATTATTACAGACAAATTAAACTAGTTAAGCAAATTAACTAATCTAATAAAACAGTAAAAAGCCCCGGGAAAAGGGCCCAATGTAATGCATGCTCGGTTCCGTTCAGAAGTCCACTGCCATGCGCAAGTTGCCTCTGTTTTTACTGTTTGGCACCTCTGAAAATTGCACAAGTTCCAAGGTGTGCTCCATGGACACTGTGGATTACCACCGACCAAGTGGAAACACCACCGACCATGTTCAGATGGTCATCGACCATTGGTTGAGCTCTCGGCCAAATATTGTTGGTCGGTCGGCACTGTATGTAGCCGACCGGCCAAAACTTCCTGCAGATCCTATTTTGACAGCAGCAGAGGGCAAAACAAGGCATGGCAATGCATTTCAAGCAAATGTGTGCACCAACACATCCCTTATCATGTTTGTGACTTAAAGGGACATGGTTCTCGATCATCGGACCACCAATCACGCATTTCAATGCGTGATGGCCCAAGAAACCAAGTATGCACTTTGATTTCAAATGAGATGCACATCAAACAAACAAGTGAGGCTCAACCTCTATCATACTCAATTCAAGAGGCAAAACATGCATGCCAATGCAATGCAACCTAGGCATGTTAACAAAGTATGTAACATGGGCATGCAATGCACAATGCATACTAGGCATACAACCTATGCAAGCAAGTATGCAAGGCATGAGGCAATGCAAACCAACACGTGTGCAAGATGCAATGTGGATGTTCAAGCATGTAGCAACACATGGAGCAAACATGTTAAACAACCTAAACATGTAATAACACACAAGTATGCAACAACACACAAGGTGAGCATGCAACAACATGCGAATAATGGACTTAAACTAATTTGGGCAGCTCTATACTAAGCCCAAAGCAGTGGCCAATTGCTAAGAGAATGAGGACCAAATAACATGCAAGCATGCATGCACACAAGGACCAACACTTAGGCATTGAAGAGCAACTCTCAAGCACACTTAAGAGGATGAAAAAATGGACAAATGGCATGCATTATAAGCTCTGAAAATCAAGTCATGAAAGGTGCCAAACCAACTAGACAAGACAAACAAGGCATGCAAGCAAAGCCAAAATTCAAGGCAAGCCAAAGGTGTATTGAACTACACTTAGCAAAATCGGACATGGCATGAATTAAGCAACCAAAATTAGAGTTTTAGCATATTAAGACAAAGCCAATAACACATCTAGATGGCATCTAAATGGCTTAAACGTGCAAGCATGCACAATGGCCCAAACAAGAGGCATAAGACAACAACCTTTTAACACATTAAAGGGGCATCAAATGCAAGCATGCAAGCATGTCATGAGGACTGAAATGACATGTTAAATGGTTCCAAACCATTGGAATAATGCAAGTAATGCATGCTCATGGTTCATACACTTGAGGCTTACAAGCCAAGAATGCAAAGAGGCTAAACAAAGCATGGCAAGCATGGCTAAGACAACCTACATCAGACCTTAAGCAGGGAAAAACAAGCCTAAAAGTTTCACAAAGCTTGGCCAAAACAAGCAAGCATGGTATTCTACATGCTAAGTACATGTTAAGGCAAATGATGGAATTGCAAGACATGTATGCTAAACAAGCATGGTGTGCCTAAACCAACATAACACAGTGCTATAGCATGGCAAAATAACACTAAATAGCAGCAAAGATATGGCCAACATGAACCTAAATAAGATGCTCACTCAAGAGGCTAAAATGACCATTTTCAAGGACAACAAGGAGAGGGGGTGGCCCTCTCCTTCTTAGGACCTCAAGGCACCATCCTCACCACTGAAATCCCTCAAAATTTCAGTGGTGAGGAGGCCCAAACAAGGTAGTCCCAAGCTCAACCAAAATGGCACAAAATGGGGTCAAACAAGCCCTAAGAGGGGTCAAACAACCCCGAAGCTCAAAACACTCTTAAACAACTATTTAGAGCAGGCAAAAACAAGACTTTTATATGTTATACACAAAGTCTAAAAATAGTTGCAAGATAGGTGAAAAAGCTATGCAAAAATGGAAAAAAAGGGGTAAGATTGTTACCCTTGTAGACCCTCTTCAAAAATGGAAGACCAGCAGCTTCCTTAGGTTCAAACCAGTCCAAACCTCCAAGAACAAGCCCCTTATGCCTCAACAACTAAGGTATGGTGTAATGGTAGGTGTTTGTGTGCAAAACTAAGACCAAACACACACACAACACTCAAGAGAGAGAGAGATATAGAGATAGAGTATGAACAAACCCTAACCCTAAAACTCAAAGCTCTGAAAAATTTTGTAACCCTAATGGAGGGAGAAGAGGCTCCCTCTTATAGACAATCCCTCTTGTAAAGCTTTCCAAACAAGCTAGTAAAGAGGGAGATCCCTCCATACACGTGTATGGAGGGGAGCAAAGTGTATGCCAGCTAGCACAGCTGGCATAAAAATATCTGCAAAAGCAGATGAACAGCGGTCGGCCAGCCAAAAATGCAATTTGACCAAAATAGATGGCCGGTCGACCATCTAGAGTGTCAGTCGGCCAAACATTCGGCCAATGGCAACAAAACACGGCTGGTGGCCTCAATCCATGGCCGGTGGAGTGTGGGGATGGCCAACAAGCCATTCCTTGCCCTCCAAAGCAAAAACACAAGTGTTTGGAGCACAAACACAAGTGTTTGGTGCAAAACCAAACACAAAACAGTCGAGTCGAGAGATCCTGAGGCAAGGCGCGTAGCCGAGACATCCGGGAACTCAGGACGAACACAAACAAAGATGATCACCGAGCGTTCAAACGGTGACGTCCAAATCTTGAGGACGGTAAAAAATGGGGTGTCTACAACTATAAGCCTATTTGCCCTACGGATTCTGTCGAGTACAAGAAGTTCATCGCACAGGAACGGGTCTTTAAATTTCTGACAGTCCTAAATGTGGAGTATGATCCAGTTAGGGTTCGAGTTCTGGGTATGGTCACTCTTCCTTCACTTTAGGAGGCATTTGCCTATGTACAAAATGAGGAGAGTCGCCGGTCTGCTATGATGTCCCCTGTCTCTACTGACCATTCAACATTACTGTCTACTCCTCGGGATGGCCTCAGCCTAACTCCCATCCCTCCGTCTGCTGCTAAGGAGTCTGTATTCTGTGATTATTGCAAGAAGCCGCAGCATACTCGTGAGACGTGTTGGAAGCTTCATGGGACTCCATCCGGGGTCGAGGTGATCGGTCTTGTTCTCGAGGAGGTCGGTCCGGCCAGTCTAGAGGACGTGGTTCCTATTTCCGGGCTCATCAGTCCAGTGCCATTGATACACTTGATTCTAATTCTACCTCTGTTGGCCAAGCTTCTGATGTTGAGCTGGAAGATGCTTTGCGCCAATTGTTGGATCACCGATCTTCTATTGCTCTCAGTACAGCTTCCTCGTCCTTTGCCCGCTCAGGTAACTTAGCCTCTTCTCCTTGTGTTTTCCTGTGTCATAAGTTTTTGCCTTGGATTATTGATTCCAGTGCCTCAGATCATATGTCTAGCTCCTCTGATCTTTTCTCTGTCTATAAGCCCTCTTCAGGTCAGGACAAAGTTAGGATTGTAGATGGTACTGTTTCTTCCATTTCTGGAAAAGGTTTAGTCCAAGTCACTCCTACCATACATCTATCTTCTATTCTCCATGTTCCCAATTTTTCTGTTAATCTGTTATCCTTGAGTCGTCTTACCCAGGATTTGAATTGTAGTGTGACGTTTTTTTCCTGATCATTGTCTTTTTCAGGACCTTGTCATGAAGAGGACGATTGGCAGTGGTAGTGCAGAAAATGGTCTCTACTTCCTGGATCAACCGGACAAACTTGTTTATTCTTCCACCATGTCTTCTACTACCCCCGCTGATTTATGGCTGTGGCATCAGCGTCTTGGGCATCCTTCATTTTATTTACTTAAGCAT